CTAACTCCCAGATGATCAGTAGCCCTATGAGGTTTGTTAAATCTAGGAATTGCCCTGCAGTAGATCCAGTCCTGCTATGTCCGTCATCTCTCTTGAATACTTGTGTGTGTGGATACTCCTCTGCAGAGGGAGAGTTGGGAAGGACAGTTGATCCTGTTTTGTGCAAAGAGTGATTCACTATAAAGCTTTTGTGTGCAGCTGGTGGAAATACAGAGATGTCTGGAGGGACGGTTTGGGATTCCTTAGGGGATTCTGGCCACCAGCATGTGGGTAAGACTTTTCTGTGCACCTGCCTTTATAGAAGAGCTTTTCCCATGCTCTGAGAGGTGTCCCTTGGGGCATGGCCCGTGGAGTTCTCTGGTGCTAGGCTGTAGCTGTCTCTTTGGTACATGGTCTTTTCTCTCAGCCTTTTTTTTTTTTCTATACTCTCATCAGGCATGAGAGGCCCCATAAGGTACAGTGTGACTTTCAAATCAGCATGATTGAGACAATCAAACTGGTTGCATAAGGTTGTTAAGAGAATTCTTCATTAACTTCAAGTATCCCTCAGTAATGAATGCTGTGGATAAGAAAGCTTTTGAAGGCCAATAGCAAGCCCAACTGCGACTGATGGGCTGTATTTAGAATCGGAGTGTGTGGAGGGAGAACAAGAGCCAGGCCAAAGAGATAAACAGATGCTTGAGATGGGCGTCTGAAAATGCTGACAAAACGCAGAGTTCAAAGGGAGGAACAAGTTCAAGAGTAAGCTCTTGTCCCCCTGTGCTTGCTCCATCACCAGTGGGTCTGAATGTTGTCATATTGGAGTTCATTTTCTGATATTTTTTTCTCCCCTTATTGTGGCCCTAAAGTCTAGCCATAACCACTTGGAGGATATGGAATGTGATTTCAACAAATAAAGGTGGGGTCTTATTATTTGAAGTATTTGAAGTCAAGGGACCTTACACTTACTAATGTAGAATTCTATGGCATGAGATACGTCTGGCTGCTTCAAAAGTGCTGCGTGTACCGGCTGGGCTCAGAGAGACCATCCTTTAGGGACTGACAGATGGCAAAGGCCACACAGGACTGTGGTGCCCCCAGAATGCTGAACTGAGGAGCGAGGAAGGCGGCACACAGCCCCTGGGTTATTCAGGCACGCTGAATTATCTGCCAATGGGTTCCATCTAAGCCTGAAGTATTTTTCTCACTTGTTTGCAAAGTTGCCATCCTGGGCCTTTAGGACATCTCTGCAGTTCACTAATCCCTTCCAAAAGGGGACTAAAAAAAACTTCCTAGTTCTCAGCAGTGTTAGCCTGGCCTGAAAGATGTGAGTTAGGAAAGCTGCTGTGTTTTGGATGTAGATGCAGCATGTCTGGCCATCCAGCCTGATGGGGCCATAGAGCTGCTCAGGGGCTGGCTCTACCAGAGGAAAGCACTGCAGGAGGCGTGAGAGATTATCCTCATCATGAGAAAATGAGAAATGATCTTACTAATAAAATACATGCATTATATAAATAAAGAGAATTCTTATGCAATTTATTCTCTTCATGGACATGTTTGATTCTATGTCACATGGAGTGTTTGTATGTGCATTCATATTAGGCAGAATAATGGCCTTTCTGGAAAGATATTAGTGGATTATTTTACTCTTGCTGCAGGTGGCATTAAGATGAGAGGCCTTGGCTATTGTGCTGTCAATTTGTTTAATGATTATTAGAGGAGCAGGTGATTTCTATTAAAGGGAAGTGACAGACTGTCCATTAGATATAGATGCATGTTTATTAAATTGGAAGCCTGGAGCAAGCAGCCTGGCTCATTTGCTTACAAATTCCAGACCAATCTGTTTTATTTTGCACCTGGAAGGTTCAGAGCACAGTAAAAGTGGGAACTATTTACCAGGCAGGGCTAAGAGGACTCTTGCATTCAGGCACATATTTTCCCTTCTGTCCCAAATGGGGGTTGCAGTGGCAGGGAGGCTGGGGGAACACAGGCTGTAATCCATAGTTCTCAGTTTAATTTCTCAGCCTTCCTGCCCAGATAGGCTTGGAAGCAGAGAGAGATGACATAAGGATTGAATCTTTAAATGCAAACCCTTTGTCTCTTCAATCGGTGTGTGTGTCTCCCCGTAATAGAAAGATGGGTGATTTCCTCTAGACCCATTTATCCCAGTGTGCTGGGTCTGCTGGTAGCCAGCTGCTTCAGTGGGAGGTGTAAGCTCTCCACAGTGATCAATTACAGAAGAATCTACCCCAAGGAGACATTTATTTGTAGTCCCCACCAGCTATTGGTTTATGCTCTGAAGCAGCAGAATTTATCTTTCTCTTTAATCCGGTCTAATGTGACTGTGGATGTTCTCATTACCCAGACAGAAGTTTAATCCTTTCGGGAAATGTCTCCCCAATTCAATGCCTCTCTTATCCTTCTTTCCTCTCAGTCAAACTGGTGCACTTTAAAACGAAATCTTTCCTTTCACGGGTCTAATGTAATAAGCTTACCACTCCATCCACCCCCATTAACCAGATCTTCACTGGGATAGTGATTTGGGGTCTGGTGTCTGCAGATCAAAGAGGATGCTGAAAAATTGGAAGGGTTCATAAAAGAGCTGTATAAATGATTCAGAGCCTGGGAAACATCTTTCTAGTGAAAGATGTAAGGAGCTTGATCCATTTAGGCTATCAAAGAGGAAATAAAGAGGAGACTCCATCACAATGTGCAAGCACAAATATAGGGAAGATGACTTCTTGTAATAGATGGCTCCACTAGCCAGCAGAAAAATATACAGTGAAATTGGGCTGGAAGGTCAGGATTCAGCTTTCGTTGGGAGCTGGAGCTAGCACAGGAGTTGGAAAAAAGTATGTGTGTTTTTAGGGGAAGATAATTAGCCATTGGAGGAATTTACCATCTGAGTAACTAATTAGGAAGATCCAGAATAGGAATGTAATTTAGGAGATCCATAATGCTCTCTCATGAAAAGCCTTATTTTATTCCACTGACTAGAGACCAACTAAATGATGTGTCACAGTGGGCACTGAACATTCTTCTTGGAGACAGCGGCTGAGCATCATGCTACCATGTTGCAGCAGTGTGGCTGCAGAAAGGAGGCAGCTTAAAACACAGACTTTTGTGCCAGAAAATTATGAAATCAGGTTCCCAGTATCGTACGGAACTGCTTTGGAGCCTTAATTTTTCTCATTCAGTTTTTCTACCTGTAAATATTGATAGCCCAGAGCTCTGTCCCATCAGGAGATAGGTGTGGGTGTCCTCACGCTCATGAAGCACTCCGAGTATCTGTAATGCTGTTCTTGCACCAGAAATGAGCAGTACATGCTGCCTCTTGGTGGATTTCTGCTCTGTATTTAATTCCGAATGCGTGCATCAGCGCAGCCTGAACTACAATTCAGTCAAGTTAAAGAAAACAGCAGTCTGCACTCTGCTGCATGTCTCCTCCCTGGTTTGTGTACCTGTCACAGCAGAGACAGGGCAGGGCGCTACTGCATGCAAATAAATCTCTTTCTTTTTGCAGTCTGTGCTCCCGCTGAGTGGCTGTGATTTGTGAATGACCTCTTTCTGCTCTGGGGACAGCTGGATGAGGACTCAGCTGGGAGGTACAGTGAGCTGGTTCCCGGCCTGGCTCAGCAAGAAGGGATGGGCAGAGGCTGCCATCTTCAGTCAGAACCTCCCCACGGCAGGAGAGCTTCAGAGGAGAGCTGGCACCACAGGAGATGTGAGACACAGCGGGGACCAGGGGGGAAAAAATGTGTTAAGGAAACATGTGGAGTAGAAGTTGGCACTGACTGGTGTCACACATCCCTTTGTCATCTGGGGGAATTCCTGTCCCCAGGTAAACGCTTCATTGCTAAAGTGGGGGATCTGCAGAGTGAGGGAGATTTTACCACTGTCCTTAGTCCCCAGGCGGAATTAACCTTTTCCCCACCCTTTCTCCCTTTGGGAATTTAAGTTCTTTCTGTCCTTGGCTCAAGGATCCTGGAGCCTTAGATGAGCTGATTACAATTTTTTCTTATTAGGCTCCATGAAAACACAGGTAATGACTCGTCCCCAGGACCACCCTCACCATTCAAATCACCCCACTGGTTCCAGTCACTCATAGTCCCCTCTGAGGCTCAGCAAGGGAGGAAAAGGGAGGGCAGACATCAAATATTTCTATATTTAAAGGTTATGATACCATATTCTTTGCCTCCCCACCAACTGTTTGCTGGGCTATTATTTCACTGTCCTTTTTTTCTTTTTCTTTTTTTTTTTTCCTGGGCACATGTTTTTCCCAATTGAGGCAAAATCACTGCTTCCACGCTCAGCTGTCCTGATTGCATGAAGGAGCCTGATTGCATTATTCATCTGCAGTGCTCATAAGAGTTCAAAACTCTCAACAAGACCTAAAGCTTTTGATGATGCTCTGTTTCAGCAGAAAGGGGGAGAGATACTGTGTGAACTGGTGGCATCTGATGGCGGTGCCACCCCACCAGCTGTGGGTGGGACAGCCAGGCCTGTGGTACACAATGAACTGTTGCTTTTCCTGAGCAGTGTCTGGGACGTGCTTTTCTGTGCTGTTCTGCTTTGTTGTTTTTTTTCTCTGTGTCCAAGGCTACAGTGATGCTGAGAAGCAAATTGGTGTTGCACACTGGTGTGCAGAGGTAGCCTAACCCAAGGAAATGCTGCCATCTGTGGGCATGAGAGCACGTGTGTCCCAATTTGGTTATTTTCATATCACTAGGAACTCTGACTTAGCACTCTTCATTGGGGCAGCCAGTAGAGAAGCAATGGGACAGTCTGTGTCTGCACAGCACGCCCTCAGCAAATCCCAGGATGATAAGGCTTTCTTGAAGCTTTTGGTAGCTTAGCTGGAGGAAAATATATTCCATCCCCATCCAGATTTGGTGGTGGCTGCATGTGTTGTCTTTAGCCATCTTGGGAAACAGTGTCTGGCAAAGCCAAGGTTAATGATCTCTGCCCTTCTGTCAGGACAAAGATGTCTGGTGGCCATGCAAAAGGAAACACTGGTTTAGAGGATCAGAGTCTTCTCTACACGGGCAGAAACGCTGCTGTCAGCTCAGACACCTGTGGCGTGTGTACTGGTAAGTAGATTGGTTAGCACAGGTTTTGTCTTCTCATGGAGCATGTGTACCTTCAAGGCTGGATTTTGGGAAGAGCTGAGGGACAGATGTCCAAATCCTACAGCTTTTGAAAAGGGCCCAGCACCTTTTTTGGTACCAACATTTTTCAAAAGCATTCAAATCCCACCTGTTGTTATTGCAATATTTAGCGAACATGGGACTTCTAATAAAGCTCGTCACGCACTACCCAAAGCTCTTCTGAAAGTCTGGATATCTGTTTTTTGGTACCTAAATGGGAATGGGGTTCTTCTATTAAATCCAACCTTCAGAAACATTTTGATGGGAATAAAATACTGAGACTGAGTAGGAAAGCACAGTGCAGCCCCTGCCAGTCTTCACCTGAAGACATGTATTTTGTAGAATGTGCTCAGGGGTAAAAAGATATTAATATGTAAACTCCTTTGATTTAATATGCCAGAGCATTGTTCTCAGTTCTTTGCTTCAACTGGTGCACAACACTGGAAAAATAAAATGGAATCATAAAATAAAATAAATAAAATATAAAAGCTGTGAAGCACTCTGAACTGAATTCAATCAGCAGGGGTAAACCTAAGAAGCAGAATTATACATCAAGAGCAATTCAATATTGTGTTTAATCCCAGAACGTTATAAATCTGACAAACATCTAGGAATAGCTTCAGAATGGAGAGAGTTGGGTTTTTTAAGGAATAAAGAGGCAGTTAATCCTATTTATGCAGAGTTCTTTCCATGAATAGTGTTGCACCTGGAGGTGAGAGTAGATGTTCACTGAGAAGGAAGCAGACTGCTTCCTCCTCGGAGGGCTCTGATCATACAGCACTGATGCTTTTTGATGTTATTCATCTTCAGTTTGTGGCAGCAGATGACATGCTGAGGTTCTGTCTTGAGCTGAATTCTCGTGTGGATTTCTTCATGATCCCTCCGGTTTACCTTTCCTGTTACTTAAAAAGGAATTGGCTGGGTAAGTAAGACTTGGACATCCTGCTTTCCATCCAGTTGTTCTGCGTCTTACATCGGGACTCCCTTCAAATTTAATTTGATTCAGGGAGGCTTTGACCATCAGTATGAAAACTCCTTTAATTTTGAGGGGCTTTTAATTTCCCCAGGTCTGTCTCCATTGTGTTTTTCTGCCTCAGCAGTCACTGTAACTGACGGACTGGGTGAGGAGTTACCCAGCAGGGAAGCAAAGATGGTACCCTGACTTTTGTGGGTGGCTTTCTTACATGCTCTGGGGTCTATAGCCTAGTGGAGCTGTATGTCAAGTAAGCCTTCATGTTACAGCTCAAAGGAACTGCAATTCTTTATTTTTCTCACCATTCGAGGCCTCCTCTGAGGACACAGGTGGAAATCCAGTGCCATAAAGGCTTTGAACACTGAGCAATGTTATCCGCTCTTGCCGGGTTTGAAGTAGGGTCCACTATAGATATGTGGGAAACAAAGCATGCATATTTAATTGTGTCTGAATACCTAAAAACACTCCACTTCTGGGCAGAATTTTTCTTCTCTGACTTTCTCACTTTTTAGCAGGTTTGAGGTTTCTGAGAGCACTTATGTTGTTAGAACTTCTATGGATACTGCAGTGCCACAGGATCGCAAAGAACGAGTAAGTTAAAGCCTTGCCAAGTGCACTTGGAAACCTGACATTCTCCGGTGTGTGTATTTTGGCTGACTTGGGTAATAAAGGAAAATACTAATGTTGTATATGGAAAAAAATGAAGTGGAAATTGTTGAAAGCCATAAAAATTACAAATCCTCCTATGAAGTGGTGAGTGGGAAAAACTAAGTATGGTTGCTGTTTGTCTTTAGAAAATAAAAATCAGGTCAGTGACTAGGCTGGAAACCAGCTCAGAATAAATAAGAAGCTAAATAAAGCTTCCTGTAGTAAATTCAGTGAAATCCTGAAACTTACTCTTGCTTGGTCCTTACTCAAGACTGTCTGAATAAACCTTGTCAACAGCACTATTCAGCATGCGCTTTATTTTCAGAGGAAGAGAAGCTGCCTGACGTGGTAGCCTAACTTAGAGATTGAAGAGACCTATTTCGGTGGTGGTGGTGTAGTTTTTTTTAGTGTAGATTTGGTTTGGTTTTGTTGTTTTGCTGGTTTTGGGGTTGGTTTGGTTTTTTGGTCACTCACAGGACTGGGCAGGTACGGCTTTAACGAGGTTTTGTAAAGTTCCTTCTGTGGCTGTGTTTTCGGAGTGTCTACCATGCGCTGCCTCTAACCCTTACGGATCCTCTTCCTTTCCAAAATGACTCCTGAAGTACATGGTCATGATGGATGAAATTTTCATTGACCCAAAGACAACCTGTTTTCTGCATTACTGGGAATACTATGCTACAAGCAGGTGTGTAGTTTCATACAATGTCAGCTTTGCAACAGCCATTCTATTTTCAAAGTGACAAATCTTGCTTGATCTCTTCCTGTAGCTAGTTCCTTCTCTGTGATGATACCACTCCAGAGAGTGTCACTGCATTCCTCCGAGACTTTTTGCTTCAGGACAAGGGAAATGTTTGCACAGAAATCCTTTTTCTGGGAGAGTATGTATCCTCATTTCTCTGAGATTTCACTTTGAGTCCCTGAACGCTTAGGGGAAATGCAGGAGATCTGAAAGTGAAGGAAAGCAATGCTGTGTGACTAATTAATGGGAGTTACCAACCAAATTGTAGCAATGGAGCTTTCATGCTGGAATGTGCGTGATAAAATGTTTTCTGTTGTGATCAGTTGAAAAAAAAGTATGTTTCCCTGTAAATTGCATAGTAAACTAGCTCTGGCAGATATGCCCGACTTCAGGTCTTGCCTAATCAAATAATTGTCAGCTGTCTCAATTTCTCAGACATTTTTTTTATCCTGGGGAGAAAATTTGTAACTTCCACTTGGTCGTGCTGGCATATGGCAAAGGGAGGAAAGTGAAGCCACTTTTCAGTGCCAAAAATATTGGGCATTTCAACTGTCCTGTCAGATCCCCTTCTTATGCCCAGCTGAAGCTATTAGACATGTTTCTGAAAGCAGAAGCTTCTCTGGGAGGTGACTGCAGGAGCACAAACACAATTTTACCTTGGAATGCAGTGGAGGTGGGGCAAGAGGTGAACAGAATATTATAGGCATCTCCTTTTAAATATCATGACATTTTGAGAGGGCTGTTGAATTGAGGATGCATGGAAATGAGGTACAGGAATGGTTCAAAGACAGGAAAAAGTGCTTTAGAGGAAGAGATGTAGAGTTCAGTCTGTTTAGTGTAGCAAGAAGAGGGTAGGGAGTTTGGCTTAATAAAAGTGCCTGAGTAGCTTCACAACCAGTATAAAAATCTTCTTTAATCTGGGAAAGATAGGCATAACAAAAGCTAATAACTAGAGTTCAAAGTCGAGCAAACTCAAGTTAGAAGCAAGGCATGCATTTTTGAAAGTGAGGAGTGATTAATAATCACTGAAATAAACTGCTCGGAGAATGGGTGAATTTTCCAACTCCTGTCTTTTAATCACAATTGGATACCTTCCTCCAGGGCACGCCTCATTACTGGGAGCAGTGTAGGAATATCTCCATAATGTATTGCACAGCTTCTGTAGAAGAGAATGTTACAGACGTTCCTGGATGAGATAGAGTTGCATAAATCGAATAGGAAAATAATGCTTGAGTTGGAGAGAAAGTTGAAGTTCAGCAGTTTCATTTGAAAAGAGAATGCCGAATCAAGCCCTAGGAAGTGTCATTTCCTGACTCTTGTGGGGTAACAGTGAGCTGTAGAATTAGAGCTGCATGGATGGTGTGGAATGATACTCATGAAAAATTAATGACAATAGCAGAAGACAGGAAAAATCCAGGAAACATTTCCATGACTGTTAAGTTTTATAAAAGCTTGTTTTCATTAAAATCTAAACTATGTACTTTAACTGAGCTGCCAAAATCCCTGTAGCTTTTTTTAAACAGCAAGTAGTTATGGCAAATAGCTTCTCTGAGAAATGGAGACTTGCAGAGAATGTAATTATGAGAGATTGATGGATTTTCCCCCCCCTGTTGTTGTTTGTATTGAATAGGTCTATTCCTAGTCTGGAGCTGGGAGCTGTGTTCAAATGCTATTCAGCCTACACAATTTTCGTCTCTGGCTCTGCACTAAACTCTGAAGATCTGAAGAGAGTTGGGGTAAGAGCTTCATCCTTTGCCCTTTCGTGTAGATAAGCCAACCTTGTGAAAGTCTTGTCCCTTACGAGGGGATGCTTGAGCTGTGTTTACTCAAGTCGTGTTGAGATTTACACTTCAAGCAGCTCCGCTATTTCAGTGGAACCTTTTGCACACCAGCGTACGCTCCTGGGCACTGGGAGTGCAAGAGTCAGGCATAACCAACTTCGCAGGCTATAAATTTTTCAAGCACAGAAACAGGGAAAATAAAGGGGAAAGCCAAACTGTGATCATCGGGTTTTGAAAGAGGAATATTACGGAGTGCGGCATTTCTCAGAATTGTATTTAAATAATTGGAATAGCCCTTAGTTAGCTCATCCTCAGAGCGTGCATCAGATTTGGGTCTCATTCATGACTGTCCAGAAAAGAAGAGACCTTGTGTTTTGCAATACTGAAGGCTCAGTAAAATATTCCAACATAAGCAGAAGGAATGGAATTGAATTAAAGAAAAAACGACAAACAAAAACTGCCACTGGATTTATTTTCAGTGTGGTTTCTATTTGTTAGTGTCCTGTTTGAAACAGTGGTAGCTCTCCACCCAGTTCCCGGCAGACTATAAAACCTCCACCATGAATGAAACTTTGTTGTTGTTGTTAATGACTTCATTACACAGCCCCAGTATTGATTAGATCTCTGAGACAGAGCTCTTCTGACCTGCCCAGATGTTGGCCCTTGAAGTGCTCGGGCTGGACTTTGGGGAAGAATACAGCAAAGCTGCCTTTCTTGAAACCTCTTCTAGGAAGATTTTAGCACTAGAAGCTTAAAAATTTCATGTGTCCAGCACTTTGAAAATAGAAATATGCATTACATGCTGTATGTTTGACTGGGGCTGTGTCACTGTTGAAATGCTCAGGCATGTGCACAACTCCAGGTAATAGGATCATGATGATCTTACGCAAGTTTTTACGTAAAGCCATGTGCCACTAAATGAGGTTGCTAATGGAGACTGTTGTACTTCATATGGTGTTAAACCCTGATTTAATGTTTCTCTCCTGGGATACAGATGGAATCTGCGAAGAGCCGTCTCGTTCCAGCAGATGTTCACTCTCCACAACCCTACACTGAAGATACTTCCGATATCATAAGGTAGGGTGAGATACTCCAGTGCTTTCAGTCTCTGTCTGATTGATATTAACAGTGACACAGATAGTGCTGCTGGCAGAGGAACATATTTGCCCTGTCACATTTTTTTCTGCCTGGAGAACTCTGAAAGCCAACTGACTGCTTTCTGCTATGATTTTATCAGATGTGTTGAAGGATTGAGACAGGTAGCAGCTGTGCAGCCTTGCAGCCCCGTACAGAATATAATGTTACTAAATATGGTGTAATTACCTTCTTCAATATCCTGAATATTAGCAGTCGAGGAGTCTGGCTCCTTTACACTGGAGAGAGTTGCACACTACTGTCTGGTGCAGCTCTGCTGTCAGATCTGATAATTCTGCACATCTTCGTGCTGGGCAGACTTGAATTGGGAGCTCTTAGTACTGCTGAATTGGGTGAAGCTGGCATAGTTAGCATAGCCCCAAAACAGTCCAGAAGTCCAAGTTCCAAATTGGATTATCTTTCTTTTCTATTGGTAGGGTAGCTACCAAAGTGGAGATATTAGTTTGAGTGAAATTTACCAGTGGAATTGGCAAAGCAAATAAATATCCATTATTGTTGCTTCTCTTAGCTCTAGACTTCTAGTGGGATACGGGTGGGATAAAGGAAGCCCAGTGGGATCTTCTCTGAAATGTGTTCCTGATTTGAGTAGAAACTGCAGCCAGGTCTTTTGAAGCTTATCTTGGTCATGCTGGGATTGAGCTTGGCACAGAAGGCAAGAAAACCTAACTGACTATTTCTAATGTAACACTTGAATTCAGCGCAAGAGATGAAGAGAGGGCTGCAGCGTGTGCTGAGGTGAACAAACCTAAGGCTGCATTTCAAATAGTGTGTGAGGAGGGGCCAGGGCAGAGGATGGCCCGTAGCAAGCTGTGCTGCAGTTAGCCCAGGTGTGGAAACACCTCTTCTGGTGCTACATGTTCCAAAGCAATAATGTGATGCTGGTGCTGCACTGCCTCTGAGAGAACACAGTAAATCAGTTTTGGTTACTGCCCAGTATGGATCCTCTCAGCTTCTCTGCCTCTGTGCTTCATTCCATTCTCCCTGGTGTTCATCATTTGAATCTGCTTACAGCACTTCAGCAGAACCACTCCTGCTTGGTACCCAGAAAAATCGGTCCACTGTACCCTTTCCAGTTTATAGGATGCTTTTCTTCAGTATCTTTTCAGGCTTATTTATTTCTTTGGTTGAGTCTTATGGTGCAACTTACACAAGAAGAGTGAAATTACGAATTCTGTCATTTCTCTGCAAGGAAAGTGATCCAAATTTATCCTCCTTTTATCTGTCTTTCCTCATCAGTGCCTGCTACAACACAAAATTGATAAGCTACATATTAACTTTACAGACACAAGTTGCTCAGATATTTCCAAATCAATATCAGAAGATTTAATAAAAACGTAAATAGCAGAACTATTAGGTGTGAAGTTGCCTGAACACGTCTCAGGTTGGCCAGCCCTGCAGTGGACATGCTTTTGCTATCACCTAGTGGCTGTGTGTGATACTCCACATTAATCTCCTGTACAAAAGTATTTGCTATTTCTCTCTTCAGGGGCTCTTCATTCACAAAATTAATTTAGAGAAACTAAATAGATATCGGGTGAAGTAAATGCAGAGTTTATCAATGCAGAAGTTGGGCTGCTTCTTAGACAGTGGTTTTTCATTGACACATGCTGTTCCATTCAAGTCCAAATATTTGGCAATGGCAAACCCAGCAAAACTGATTTTTAAGGGGGTTTTTTTAGGCATGCTGTGAAAACTCAGCAAACTTTTTAAATTGAAAAAAAGTATCTTATGTCAAAATCCATTAAATAATTTTTATTTGGAAAGCAACACTTCTTTAGACATTTTTAGTAGCCTATTCAGTTTGATGTGGAAGGTACTCATACAGCAAGAGAATGGTGTGTACTGTGACACAGTGAGTGGCAGTCTAAAACCTGAAGGAGCTGTAAGAGGTAGAATGTTTTGCTCCCTTCCCTGCTCACATGACTACCAAAGGGAAAAAAAAAACAGTGCTTATACTGGAGTGAGTAGATGGTCACAGATCAGCAATAAATCACACCTCTAATAACTGCATTTTATGATTGGTAAAACTTAAAACAAGACCACTCCTCATTTGAATAACTCAGGAGGCAGGTTAATTTCACTGCAAAGTAAGGTGTAACTTCCTCAAATATTGGGCTCCCAATACTTTGCCATCATGAGATTTCCCTGTGGCTTTATTTGTCTGCTGAAATAGCACCTCTTCCTGGATGGTAACGTGAATGAGAAGCGTCTAGAAGGGTTGAGGCTTTCCCTGGTCTGTTGTTTATTAACTCCCATATTGTCTCTGACAACACATAGCTGACATCATTCTGCTTCCAGGAACTAAGGGCCTTTGATCTAATACCATGTGGTGTTGGAGTGTCGGCCCAGTGTTAGATTACAGATCTTACTTGCTTTGCCTTTCAATAAATGCATTATCTTTATGGTTGATTCTTTCAGACAGAGAGAAAATATCTGAAGGACAGAATGCTTCTGGAAGGCAAAGACTACAAAGTGATGACTTTTCAGCTCTCCAACGATTTTGCAGACATGACTTTTATAGAGGTTTGTCGGTATGTGGTACAGATGTGGTTGGTTTTCTGTTATTTCCTTCCAGATGTGTCTTTCCACAGTAGAGAGAGGTTGGCACTAACTGTGACTTGCTTTCTTTCCCCAGGTTGTGCTTTGTGAAACTGAATCTTGTCCTCTTGGGAACTGAGCTCAAATTTGGCAGTCAAGGGGAGAGGTAATTGTCTGGGAGACTTCTCTTCTAGTAAGAAATCAACTAATTCCAAACTAACAATTTCCAAAGAAACATGCCCCAGGGTCTGCACAGGTTTTATATGCCTCGTATCTTCCAGTGCTTGATCCTGCCTAAATACTGAGCATTAGTTACTTAAGTGCTGGGTGAATTTTACCACATACAACAATCTCTTCTGCCTCCGCTTTTCTCACGGATAATCAGGTGAGAGCTGGGAGATGAGACACCAGTCTTCTATTCCGCGTGCAAACAGCACAACTCTCACTCTGATTTGGGGTGACTCAAGCATATTTATTTTTGTTGGTAAAGGAAACGCCTCCTCATTTTTTTTTAGCCACATGAGTTTACAGAGGCTCCTAAATGATGCTATAAAGTGTTGTCGTAAAGGGATAATTTGTCAATGCTGGCAGTAGAGGGTTTTTTCTCTGAAGCTGATCTGGTCCTGGGCCAGATAACGCTCTGTCTGTTCTAATGGTGAAATACAAGACATCCTAATGGGGAAGCTGGAACTAGTTCAGAAAGGGGAATAAATAAGTGCCATAGATCTTTAAAAAGCTTGAGAAATCACTGAGAAAATGCAGCCTATTGAACGCAATTATTTTTCTCTCCACTTTTACAAAGGAAATGGCTGTTTTGATGAAACTGTAGAGTAGAAACTCTGAAAACAGAGGGTTGTAGGGAAACACTGCTGTGAGAAACACATCGGGGCTCTTCCGGAAGTGCTGCAGGAACTCTGTGCTGAAAGAAGGCAGTAGATGGAGTTGCTTAGAGCTAATGGAAAACAGGCCACAACTCGGTCTATTCTTCCTTGAGTTCATACATTGTCTGGCTGAAAATAGAATGATGAAAAGAAAAAGCAAGAGAGAAAAGGCAGCTGCCTGCTCTTTGAGAGACAGAGACTCTATTTTTGCTTTTTTTACACAACAGTTGGCACAGAAGAGATACCTCTTCTGAAAGCGGGACATCTAGATGTTGCTACAATATCTGTAGTAATAATTATAGTCATTCATATTTTGTTCTCTGAGCCGTGAATGTGGAGGAGCTGAGTACAGGCCTTCTCTTGTCTGGAAGGGAACAGTTAACATTGGCATCTTCCCTCTGCCATTCGCACTACCTATATTCATTAAAAGTGGGTTGAAAGCAATAGGAGTTTGGACTGAGCTGGTACCTTGAGTGATCTTCATAGAGGAAAATGGTAAATTTAATGATGTTACAGGGGATTCAACATAGATGTGCTTAAAGCGAGTGCGTTTTTTCTCTCATTAGTTAAACACAATTCAGTTCTGCTCAATTCGCTTTTGTTTTGTAGGGCGCAGTTCTGTTGTGAAGCCTGGTACAGTCACAGACAGGATCCAGAGTGGATTAAAAAATGTAGATATAATAACAGACTCTACTCAAAACCTTCCTCAGGTAATTTTTAAAAATCTGTTTCTCCTTGAAAAAAAAAAAAAAAAGATGGTTCAATGAATATCTGTTATTTGTATTTCTGTAGAAGGGTAGATAGGAACTTACCTGATAAATTACTTATCTGATAAAATAGGGAGTAAACAACAAGCTTTCCGTTCAAGGTGGACATACAGATGCATGTCTACTTGTATTTCAGACATCCCTACTTGTATTTCCAGCACTTACAAATCATTTAAACAGCAGATGGCAGCCAAGCCCCATTATAAAACATGCCTCTGAACTGCAGATGGCTGAGATAAAGACAAAACTCCTTCACACTGTGCTCAGCCAGACTGAGTGAACAAGCACAAACATGCTGACACCTGGAGGACTCCATGTAGTAATGTCATGTAGAAGGAGAAGCTGGAGCCCATTTCGAGCCCAACACACTTATCAGTGCAGAGGTAACCATGGTCCCTGAAAGCCAACTACCTCCCAGAAAAGAGACTTCCATAAACTGCAAAGACATCTTAATAAAAGTCAATGGCAAATGAATAGAAAGACATTGACACTGTAGGAGCTCTCCACCTGGTTGGTTTTCTTCTTGTTTCCTAGGCAATCTTAGATTTTAAAAGGACAAGATGACATTTCAGTATAAATGTGTATTAATAAAAAGCAGTTGTTTACAAACCTGCAGTTCTGCACCAGTTATACTGTGGAGAGAACGGTTGCCTGAGGTGGATCAGGAGCTTTGCCAGGCGTAAGACCTTGCCATTGGTTTCCCCCAGGATTTTGGAAGTATCAGAGCAAAACAGAGCTTAATTATAAGCGCTTTGGTTCATTCCTCCACTCTCTGTGTACTGTAGTTAAAGTGGTACGTGGTGTTCTGGATTGCTCCAAACTCGTTGTGAGGGAGGTAAGGGAAAGGTTAGATGGAGATGAAGATGAGTGCCCCCAGTGCCTGCAGTGGAAACCAGGTTGCTCCAAGCCCCTCCAACCTGGCCTTGAACCCCTCCAGGGATGGGGCAGCCACAGCTTCTCTGGGCAACCTGGGCCAGGCTCTCACCACCCTCAGAGTGAAAAAATCTCTTCCTGAGATCACATCTAAATCTACCCACTTCCAGTTTGAAGCCATTACCCCTTGTCCTATCACTGCTTATCACTGCCTGCCTAAGATGGGCTGTTCTGAATTTCTGTTACGATGCCTCCATTTAGCTTGACCTGGAGGGATCATGGCATGTAGTGTCCTCAGAGAGATCTCCCTACCCATCCACCTCTCACCTCACTGAACACAGGGCAATAGAAAGAGGTATCCTGTTACTAAGGGTAAATGCACCTGCTTTTACACATCTGTGTAGAGCAATTACAGCTTAAGGTTGACAAATCACCTGTTCAGAGATGTCCCTTTTTCTGCCAGGGGTGCGTTCAGAATCACTGGCTGTTTCATCTGGGTTATTGAGGTTTGGCAATGGTTATGACATCACAGGGAGGTTAAGGGTATGTGAGAGGGTTCATCTGTCAGTTTGTGAGATAAAAAGATACATGTGTCTGAACGTTCCTCCCATCCAACCTTTCCTGTCCCATCTGTATGCGTTGGACATGTTTGGACACATGTGACACGGGGAGCTTTGCTGCATCTCCTGTCAAATGCTGCCGAGGGGAGGAATGCAGAGCTGCAGAGGTACAGACCAGGGGAGTGACGTGGTGTATCCTGAGCTGCTCCCTCACGCTGTGGAGCAGGAGATGTCGGTGGGCTCTGGTGCTCTTCAAAAAATCTCCGAGGGTGCTGCTGTACATCCTCAAATCACTGCCTGGTGTTATAACGCTGGGCTTAATGGCCTGTGACCTCAGATTATGGCCCAGAAAGGACTAGATCAAATGTCAGAGAAAAGATGTTCCAGCTGTTAAATGGCTACTTTAGGATTTGGGGAACTTGAGCTCGTTTTCTTGATCTGCTTCCTCAGATTCAATCTGGGACTTTAGGCCACTTAGCCTTTCGGAATTTTGGTTTCCTGATGGGAAATTGAGGACGTTAAAAATGGTTTGACTTGCAGAGAATAGTGCCGTAAATAATTGCAAGTCACTCGTAAGTATGAGGATGGTAGAAGTCCAGAGTCTGAACTCTTCCTACCCTTCAGATTATTATTTTTATCTTGTATGGAGGACCATATTTTCTTGGAGCATTCCGAGTGTGTCTTCTCCCAGGATCAGGGATGCAGGACCAGGATCCCCCTCCACGCTCTTAAGGACAGGCCCAGCCCCAGCACCCCCATGCACTTTGGACTCCCCCTCCCTCCAGGACCAACCCTGGGACCCCCCCCTTTCTAAATGTAGGCTGTGATTCTCTCTAGGTGAGAACATGTCTTGTTCTTTCCTGTGCAAAACGAGAGAGCAGAGGTTGTGGGGGTCCCACACACGTGTGTTCAGGGCACGCTTTCTTCAGCCGTGCCTCCCCCTGCAGGAGTGACAAAGGTTCCCTTTGCTTTCAGGAGAAAAATCTCAGCAGTTTGGAGTGAGTTTTAGCCTCTGGATTGCAACATAAGAACCTCAAAGAAAAGGAGCTCCCTTTGGAATGAAATGGTGTGTTAAGTATGTAGTGCTCACCATATTTAAGGCTGTTTTATGCATACTGGATGGAATTACTATTTTGTAACGCTGTGCTGTAGTTGGTATGAATAACCAATTACTCAGAGCTCCTTTGTCTGGCGTTTCTGAAGCCCCCACAGAATCCTCAGATGCCATGGTAGCCATTTGCAGACACAATCTAAATGCATCTGAAGGCTGTACAAAAGGAGCCTAATTCTGTTTCATTGCCTTTGTTTCAGAGAAACTGAAATTGTATGGAGAATGGCATGTTTCAGATGGAGAGCCTGTAAAGTCAAGGTCCTTGATGTCCTTCCACCTCGGAGTTTCATTACTGGGTAAGAAATGTCACACTATGTGTATGCTGAGCAGGCCTTTCCTGGACTGACTTACTGAGAATTTGGGTGGAAAGAGGGAACAGCAGAGAGAGCCTCTTTACTGATCCTTCTGCTACTGTTGGTTGTGGTTGAAGAGGATGGTTTATGGCTTCTCCCTATCTTGATTAATTGAACAGTGTTGAAAACACAACCTAGGCCTCTGCATCCAAATCCTTATCTTCTCATACTCTCCTGCAAGCTCAAAGCCTGTGCTGTGAATTCCTGATACCTCCGTGGAGGACCAAGGGGCAGGAGGAGGAAGGGATTGGTACAGCTCCTGAAAGAGCTCTCAGCCTTCCAGACGGATGCCCAAAGATACCGTCACTGATCAGCTGAGTCATGAGTGTGTTTGAGCCAAATATGGCTCCTTCTGAGAGAGCAGAGCGGAGGCAGGAGCAGTTAGGGGTCGGAACAGGAAGAGCCAACACCAGGATTTGCTCTTTGCTGGGATATTCAGTTGCAGCGTGACACTGGCAGCAACCCAGAGGAGTAGCAAACTCTGGTATATTCTAAAAGAAGTTTGCTGTAAAGGCAAGATCCAAGAGAAATCACACCCTGCAGCCTTTCTCTCAAGCATCAGTAATGCATGTTGAGGAGTCCTTTCTAGGCCATCTAAATTCTTCCCAGCTGGAGGAATCTGATTTCCCAGCAGGGTTTACAAACTGGTGGCAGAGCCTAATCAGCTGCTGTCTAAGGCGAGGTGTGAATTGCAGTGTCCTCATGGACAGTGTACTTGGTTTGCCAGGCTGGTTGCCTTGCACTGGGACTTCTCCTAACCTGAGATGCTGCATTCAGCGTAAGAAGGGGTGTTGTGGTCTGATCAGGAGCTGGCAGGAATAGCAAGCTGTTACACTCTTCCAGAGCATCCACTCAAGAGGGTGACAGGACATACTGGCAAACAGTGTCACACCAGAATTTGCAGGGAGTACACAGGAGCCTGGTAGGGGAAGAGGTGCACAAACCCGTGTTTCTTGCCTTGTTTGTGCTTGTGAGCAATTTGCAGCTGCTGTAGAACGGAAGAGGCTTAATAAATGATGTCTCCCCTTCCTCCAAAACCCTGCCTTGTGCTTCAGCACCAGAAGCAAATGTCAGTATGGGAAGGAGTCTGGGTCCTCTGGAGAGCTCTGCATCGTAGCACCATCCCCAGCACATCCATGGTGTGGGGACAATAAAGCGTTGCTCAGTGCTGCTGTCCTACAACTGATTAGGTCAGCTGTAAATATTGGGACTGCACAGTAAATACATACTACCAGATTGTGCTGACTTGTTAAATATAAATGAAAACATAATTAGATTTATAATGTGTCCCTCCCCCTCCTCATGCCCAATAACATGATTTACCAAAGAGGGTGGGGGTAGGGGGGAAGAACAAGCCCTCACAACCTGCTGAAATATCATTATTAACATGCACATGAAAAGTCAATTATGCCAGAGGGAGGTATTTAAGTGAAGTGAGTTTCCATACTCTGGGATTACACCTTGGGGATTATATATTTCTTATTTATTTATTTCTTTTCCTTGAGATCTCCACTGCTGCTTAGCAGTGAGGAACAAAAATGTTACTAAGAGATAATTTCAAATCCCCTAAAGAAATAGGCAAATATGCAGATAAATAATGGTTCCCTTCCCCATCAAGATTCTTCCTCATCACCATATCATGGAGCCTATATTCTATCCAGTGAGTGCAGGTATGTTTTCTGGTGTTTAGTTTTAAATGACACCAGGGACTGGTCTTCCACCACTTCCCCAGGGAAGACATTTTACCGTACTGTTATTATTAGTTGCAGTATTTATTATTTGTATTATAGCGGTGCCTTGAGGCTTCTGCTGGGCCTGGGATCCTGTTAGGCTGGATGCTGTGTGTGTGCATGGGAGAAGGTGGTTTCTGCCTTAAAGAGCTCTCAGGCTAAATAGAAAGAGCAGACAGAGTGTGGGAAGGCAAAGGGGAGTAGGGAAGGGTGAAATGAGGTGTGGAAAGCCATAGAGGAAACCTCACAATCCAAAATACAGCTCTTTGGGGCTGGCTCGTTGTAGCACTAGAGTTATCAAATTAATCCCAAATAATTTTGTATTATTATTTAAACCAAAAATAGAATTGGATCCAATTGCCCATTTTCAGATTAAGGTGAGGTTTTCCATCAGGGGTGTTCTGCTAATAGAAAAGCTCCATTTGATTTAGGGTGATAAACTGCAATCTGATCCAGGGAAGGTAGGCATTTTAATGCAAGTCTAATTTCCAGGGTTCTCCGGATATACAAGAGGGATTACTTCCACTGTGTCCTGCAGGCAGTGCTTTTAAAATTACTTGGATACTTACCCTCTTGCCCCTTTACAGGGTCCTTTGAAAATATCTGTGTTTATTGGGACAGTTAGCCAGCTAAATACTTAAATTCCAATTATTTTTTTAAACACAAATTTGCATCTGAGACTAGATTTGCATGTGGGCTAATCAATAAAAAATGTAATCAAACCATAATTCAGGGAAGTTCAGTATGGTATAGTGGGCAGGAATTAGGCATGGCCTATCATAATACTCAAAACAGGTACTTGGTTGAGGTTTTGCTGATATTGCTGGTGTCCTGGGCTATTTTAATGAAAGATACCTTCTGTCATATTGTACATATTACATTTTGTACACTTCTTCCTTTTTCTTTTTGTTTCCCCCACTGAGAATGAGCAGATCTTTTTATCCAGGGAAATAACTTAATTAGCGTTGTTAAAAAAAATAAGTTGTCACAAGCCAATGCAGCAGTACCCCAAGACCTATAAAACTAGAAGTGAATCCATAAAGACCTGGTAGGATTCCTCAAGCACTTCCGAGCCCCTGCATCGATACACTTGCTTTACTAGTCATGGGTTTTCCACGCATTCTTGCCGAAGGCATGACAAATTTAATGGTGTATGTTTTGCTGAATTGTTGACTCTTGGTTTTCATTCCTGCTAAGTTTCTAGTGAGGCATAAAAGAATGTTGGTGAGCAAGGCTCTGTGTGTACACAGCTCTGCGGCATCTCCTTCCCTTTGTCCTGGTGTGGAGTCATTTCAGCCAAGCAATGGATTAGTAGAAACTGAATTACATTAAAAGGGAAACCAGGTTAAAGAACCAAGTTTTAGCTCCCTGTTAATTGTAACTTATCTGGTGCCTGGATAATTGCTCGTAAATACCTGCTGAGTTGCCAAGCCTGTGTTAAGGCTTGTCAGTCTTTAATAAATCTTAAAGACTTAAGATCCTACTCTTTGATGCTACCCATCGCTTCCCAGCCCAAAGGCAGGGCACACCGAGGCAGTGGCGCCCCAGCTCAGCTCATCTGGCAGAATGCATCACAATCTTTATAAATGTGTGAGAAGGGCTGTGCAAGAGCTCCTGAAAAGGTCATTGGTATTTTTGGAGCGATAAATCATGGGGGGAAAGATTTGCATTTTGGCTGTATAAAATCCAGGGCTGGATTAGAGGGAGCATACTTTGCAGTAATATTTCTCTCCTGACTTGTTTTATTAGCTTCCTTTAAACATGTTACATTATTGCTTATAGAATTTCATTTACTTGGATTGGCAGCTTGATAAATATGTCTATTGGCGATGATTTGGATTGCTCTGGGCATTAATATTATTAAAACCTGTCACAAGGAAATGTCTGAAAGATGACTTACTGTAAAGATTACAGCATGAAATAAATCATACAATGGTATTTGTTACCGTTTATGGCCTCTTGGAGCCGAGTCAATCCCTTTTTATGTTGCATTATTTTTCAAGTTTTTATAGCCTTACATTATATATCGCTGTCAGAAATGAACAGATGGGGTGTCAAACACGAGCCTTGTGAATAATTCCCACCCTCGGGTTATTTGTATGAAGGACAAGTGTAAAACTGTGTTCTCAAGAAAAAGGAGATAGATAGAGGTGGAGAAAGTGTTGTTACAGTGAGCAAGATCCCTTTTGTCAGCAGGCACATTGTGCTTTTGATCACTACCTGGGGTTTACTCTACGGGGTGGGGGCTCTGTGGAAAATTTAGCAGTCTGTTGGCATGGCAAGTCAGACAAGTTTTGTGTGCCTTCAGCTTTACTTTCATTGCTGGAGTGGGGGAGAGCTGGGGAAGGGTGTCTCAGTGACAGCCAAACCTCAGAGGGTTTGTAGAAACATGGAGAAGTGTGGATCCCTGTGGGTACCTCTCAAAGGCTTCATGGGTGGAATTCTAAAAAGAGTCCCTCCTGACCAACACCAATGGCATTTCTGGAGTTTGGGACACATAAAGAAGATGATGAACAGATACTTTGGGCACTGGAAGCTTGTGAACTGATGCTGGACAAGGAGCTTCTCTAGGAAGAGGTGATAATATTTTGCAATTCCACGTTTTGTTGTGTTGGAAAGTCCCATCTTTCCTGCTGTGTATTTTTGAGGACTGTTTCTCAGAGTCAGGGTGACAGATTAGGTGGAGGGATAGTTTAAGCTGATAAATACACATGCACTTAATTACGTTTATTTGAGTTTAAAAAAATTCAGCTGGGAGATTATCCATGCATACTTTCCCCTCCCCAAGGTTTTTCTCTTCCAATCTCCAGCCCCAGAATCTTGTACCGGGACCCAGAATATAAATCAGCTGTATTTTGGGAACGCGACTCCTCTTGGTATAAATGGCTCTTTAAGCACCCCAATAAATTGTTCTGTCGGTGCAGGCTGCCTGAGCTCATGGAACACTTTCCTTCACTGAAAGGAGGTCTTACCTTCACTGAAATTTGCCCAACCAATAAGGCTGATGAGTAGGTATTTTAGTGGATTTCTGACCCAGAAAACCTAGCCTCCGTGGTGTGCAAAATCTGCCCAGACTTGTTTTGTACAGACTGCATTGTCTCTTTGCATGAAAGCCAAGACTGTTTACTGGCACTGGAACAGGGGTTTCAATTTTTTGTCCTTTTTTTTTTACCCCAGAATAAGCAGAAGCATACTATGTTTGGGTTTACTGGTAGCTCTAACAGGACTCTTCTTCCATCGGTGATTTACTTCTTGATTCAGTTTTGGTTAAATTCTTTATATAGGCCTCCATTTATTTTTTTTTTTTCCTTCCCTTCTGGAGAGTAAAAATTTCAAAATACTACAAAGAAAAAGTCTCAGCCCTTGCCCATCCTTATATATCAATTTTTTTCTTAACTTCAGTGTGTGTTCATGCTCACTGTGTTTGGCACCTGAACTCCCTGTGATTTTTGCCAGCCACCATTCCTTACGAATTTAGTCAACTAATCCAAAGCTCATTCCAGCTTCTTTCTGAAGCTCTCTCTCCTTGTGTTCTCAGCCTCTCTTGTTTCTCTGAGACATTATAGACCAGAGCCTTATCCTTTGCAGCCTCTCCCTGTATTCCTCACTCTTTTTTTTCTACGCTTCATGTGAAAATCTGCCACCTCTCTCTTCCCCAGGCCCTCGTCCCACATCTCTCATCAGCCTTGCGTAAGAGTTTTAGGGATTCACATTCACCGTGCAAAGTACAGTTGTACTGCACATTGTAACTGGAGTTGTGCCCACCTGTACATACTAATCCGATTCCACGTTATACAATAGTATAATCACTTAAAGAATTTGCATGACTGATGGTGTGAGTTCTGAGTGCATAAGGATAAGTTTCATAATTAGCTTTCCCTGTGAACTTGTGCAAACCAGTCTATTTATAATTTGGTCAGCTCCTGACTTTTAATGAGCGTGCTGAGAGTGACTGAAGCCTCTGGCAGCATGCGTTTCATATTTTAATTACCCACAGTAATTCTGACAATTACACCAATGTCATAAATCACATCATAATGACCCATTAAAAAAAAACACCCATATTTAACTATTGGATGGGGATTTAAGTTGAACAGATATGCAGTGGCTTAACAAGAACCCAAAAGCTCCATGGAGTTTCAGCGTCTTCCAAATCTTTTCACTGAGCTGTGGCTCCAGAAGGTTGAGGGAACTTTGCACAAAGTTTCTTTCACAGGCCAAGTCCCGATTTCCTCAGCAGGGGATTGTTTTTCATGGGATGAAGCCTATTCCTGTGTGCCAGGCTAGAACTGGAGTCCTACAGGATTTGAGTCTTGGTAACTAACTGGCCGTTCTGGTCTCTCAGTCCTGGAGAAGTCAATGTCGATAGGAGTCATGAGCATCCCTGGATGTCATGTGAGCATAATGGCATTGGGTTTTAGCCAGTTAACTTGCATTTGAGTGGTGATAGTGTACAGGTACAGCTCACGTATTTTCCTGTTCTGGCAGATAGCTGTTTTTACACTGCTCAAGGTTTAATGAGGTGTAAATTTATCTGCCTTGTGTGTGATGCCCAATGCCCTTCTTACCATTAACTGTTGCTGAAACGTGCAGTTCATAAGGGACGGTCAACATCACATTGGTTACGTAGCATTTTCTCCTGGTTGTTTCTTGGGAGGTGTCACCATGTGCCACCTCTTACGCAGACCTGGAACAATGGGAATGGGCTGGGTCTGCAGGTGGGTCCTCTGAGGAGCAGGATCCATACAAATTTACCACCAATTCCCCCAGAAAGGGGCTGTGCTGCCCTGCAGAGCCCATTGCTCCGCTGGGACTTGGCTTCATGGGTTTGGCCCTTGGTGAAAATCACTTCTATTATCTAAGATCTTGAGTTCTGCTCTTTAGATTATTTTGCTATTAATAACGTCACAATAAGTGGGTGGAAGTAGCTAATGGCTCTAAGCCACAAATGATCCCAAATGTTCTCAGTCTCTGCTCTCCTGTAAACCTTGACAGATTGGGAGTGCTTAGTGAAATATTGTAACACTCAACACGCATTTACAAGACAGCGATCTGTCCCATGACGGCTTCCAGATGTGTGAGTGTGTGCAATTTCATAATTCAAGAACAGATTCTATTGCCCTCTGCAGATCCCCCATCAGGCTGTTCATAAATGCTGCTCATAATTAAATTAACGCACTAACTAGCCATGCAAATTTTGATAAGCATTGACCAAAAAAATAAAAACAGAGAACTGTTGAGATGCTCTCAGAAAATGACAAGGTTGTCTTCAGAGATTATTTGTCATTATGAGAAGATTTGGTTCTTCCCTTCCTGTTTGCCAAATTCTACTTTGTCCCTTCATACATGACAACTGTTTCAAGGTTTAAATCTAATAATTAGGAGCTGAATTTTGCTACCCTTACTCAAGCTGTCTGCTGTTTTACTCTCTGAACAGCCTTTCCAGAATCAGAGCAAGTCTCTGCTCTGCATGTGGGCAGCAGGATCAGGTTTTCGTTTTTAAAATACGACCTGTGCCCAGCCCAGGTAGCTGGGGAAGAACAGAAACATGCACGTACACTTGTCTGTGCCAAGGAGAAGAACTGCATTTTTATCTAGCCCTCCTGTGCCCTCAGAAGGGGAGAGAGACTTTGGCAGAGATTTCACAAGGGATGTTATGAATAATGAGCTGTTGTTCTCTGTCAGAAGCAATGGCTCATAGCGCTGACGCAGGAGATCTGCCTGCAGAAGGAGTATCCAGCTTCCCCGGCATAACTCTGCTATATTAATTTTCAAAAGTTTTTGAGTTATTACACCTGCTTTCTCTCTCTAGTTGAATAACGCGTCCTTATGTAGCAAAGTGTTAGCTGAGGGAGGTGGTTTGGATGGAGGTTGGATGCAGGAGTGGAGAGGGGATGACAAAAGCAGAAGGTGTCTTTTCTTGGCTGTCGCTCTGAGGTTTTTGTGGTGCAACAGACCCTCACGCACCAGCTCAGAGCTCAGCCCCTTCAGTCCAGCTCTCCCTGTGCATCTGGAGTGCTCCAGTGCTGCAACATTTTGGCCTTTGCCACACAGGGACTGGGGGTTCCTCCTCAGGCTTCAGCACCTGGAGTCCTGTTATTTGAGAATCTTGGCTCCACTTCAAGACGTGGTACTGGAGCCCTGTTAGACCAGGACTGAGCCCTTCTCTTTGTGTGGTGTGTAAGTCCCAATGCTCCGTGTCTCTTTCCGTGGTGTTTTCTCAGTTCAACTTAGTTTACCTTTATTGTACACGTTTACAACTCTAAATAACTCAGGAGTCCCTAAACTTAGTGGGGGACTGTAAGTATTGCTGCAATATAGATGATAACTACAGACTATTTTTATTTTAGGGTATTCTGTACAACCACACTGACTTCACTGGGATTACATGTGCATTGCTTAGGGGCGGATTTGGTTCAGTGGATGTAATTAAGAAAAATTTAACTACTCATTTTAAGATTGGTTTTACTTGTTGCCTGATGTATTTGTTAATTATTGGATGGAATACTCTACATTACAATATTTTGCAATGACATGTAATACCTCTGTGTCAATTAATTAAGCCTCTTAGTTCCTTGTGAGGCAGGGAAAGCGCTTTGATGCATCGTGATTGGAAAGATATAATCCATGATGATGATCAAGCCAGGTCCAGACAAGCACCATATTCTCACAGTGTGGGGCTGGGAGGGAGGAAAGGGGCTCTGCAGCAGCTTTCGCAGGCACAGGCAGTTTTCATTGTGTGTGTGAAACCCTGCTCCTCCCTGAAGGAAGAGGTTCACATGTGTGCGGATCTGGGAGCCATTCAGAACAACAATGAGAGGATTCCCAAATGGTTTGTGAACCGAGCAGCTCACATGCCAAGTGTGAAATCATCCCAAGGCTGTGGTTCGGAGCCAGGGAAGGATGTTGGGGTGTTGGTGCTGGGGGCGAGCAGGGCTCTCCAGGTCCTGGAATGACCTGCCCGTGTCCCACAGTTCTCACAGGGGAGTTTCTCTCTGGGGACTCCTCTGCACAGGTTTCTCATGTGCCCAGGTTTCCCTATGGCTCTTCCAGGCCTTGCTTGTCCTGAGGTGCTTTGTGAGCAGGCTTGGGGAAGGAAGCCTTTATCTCTCTCTCTCTGGGCAAAATTGAGGACACAGAAATAAGCTCAGATTCCTGAGGATTTGCTGCTGTTCTGTACTGAGAGCACAGAAGACAAACCAAACGAGCACAGACCTCACCGCGCACTCGGGACATTAAGACTCAATTGTAGCCCCGTTTTCCCACGACAGGGAGTGGAAGAGCTGATGTTGGAAGACGGCAGGCGAGGGATTCAACAAAGCTTTAGGGCTTTGCAAAGGCATTATGAAGAATTTAAAGATAGCTTGTCAGCGGGAAGTTGTTGGCAGCTAACAATTTGATAAAAGGACTTCCACTCCCTGCCTTCTAATGCTATAGACAACTGTTAATCACTTATGTTAGTCCTCAAATGAAGTTTGAAACATCTTGGATGTGTCTGACCATCTTTTAGTGTAGCTGAGAGCTACATTATCTACTTTGATTCATGGAAACATGAGTGACTGGTTTATATTAGGTTGTGGCTGTGGAAACAGGCAAAAAAGAAATGTTTTACCATGTTGTAGCACTCTCAGTTCAGCTCTGACACGCTGGGCTGAACTGCCATGTTGGGTGATGTATAAGGTATTGAACTGGGGTTATTTGCAGTACAAAAGCAGGTTTTTCTCTGAGTTTAACAGTGGGCTATTGTTGCAATAGACACAGTTTGTTGGTGGGTTGGGCACAGACTGGTCACACCAGTGGTTTATACACGTGATGCTGTAGAACAGTATTTTCAGATGTTCAGCACAAGGAGCACGTTTCAGAAATGCCCACGGTCCAAAGTGCTCTTGTGAGTCAGCTCCACTTGGACGGTCGTTGGTAACGTAGCCTTGTGCTTTTGATATTCTGTTCAGTGCAATGTGGGTGGTGAGGACCTCAAATAAGAATGTGGTAGAAAGAGAGAGGTAACATGGACATGACAATGCACAGCCTCATGTGAATGCAACCGTTTTCTTTCCAGGCTCATGTAGAGCCAACAGGGATAATTCTGCACCCACAGCACAGTCAATTTGTGACCCAGATTACCTGCTAATGGCTGTGGTGAGTGACTGTAGCTCAGCCAGAGACTATTTCTGTCTCTGTTGGGTACTACAGCATGTCAGCTCCAGTGCCCTCATCCTCTTCAGAGTCCAGCGCAGGATGATTTACGAGTCTCTCAGGAAAATCAGATTTCTGTTAGAATCATGTAGTCTGCAGAGTGTATGGCAGAAGGAACCCTTAACTAAAGAATGGCTTGTTAAATCAGAACGTGCTTGGCTTTGGCAAGGTGGATGTCGTCATGAAGGAGTGGGTTTCCTACTGTCTTTTCCCTCTATCTCCCGCTTTAGGGATCCAACAGGTGTTTCTCCAAGGCGTGTATATTTCCCATAATATTAGAATGAGGAGTTGTCATTTCTGACAGGTTGTGTATATAGATGATGGCTTTATTGTGATAGAGCTGTATACATTGATTGATTGGTAAATCTGAGTCAAGTAAGGGAGCTCGTGAGAAGAGAGTCTCTAACTTGCCAAAATACCATTTAATCACTGGCCTAAGGATGTGTTATCTGAGGAGGAGACGATAGATGCGATTGCTTGTGGGTAGCACGAGGCTGTGTAGAGACACTGCAGGGATTTAGAGGGGTACTGCTCCCTTTCCTCTCCAGTTTTGCACTAATTTATCCTGCTGAATTCAGGAGAGCCATGTTGAAGCTTCTCCCTGCCCCTTGTCGGAGATGCCCAGTCCTTTGAAACAGCTTCAGAGCAGCATCTGATTGAATGGCTTTTGTTTCACATGGTCTTGTTGCTGCTGCTGAACTAACATAACGCTCAAAAACACAGCTTCGTTTCTGAAATTTGCCTCTAAGAATATCCTGCAATATGGGCCTAATTTAAAGTCCCTGAAGACAAGGGGAAAATTCCCGCTGACTTCTTTTTGCTCTTAATCAAGACCATGTTTATATAAATATTGCTTCAATGAATGTCTCTACTGAAGAACTCATTATTTAAAATAATCCTAGGGACCAAGTCCAAACAGCTATAGACATCACAACTAGGACAATAATTCAAGGAAACACTTTGCAGTATATTTTTCCTTATGTTTGTCTCACTCAGCTGACATTGACAAAGGAATTTCTCCTCCACACAACCCTTTTCCCCCATATTGTCACGGTTAATATGTGATTCATACATCCTAACTTCTCCTTGCTACTATGAGCCATGAAAGCTCTGATGTAGATAAAGAGGGCATCGCAGCAGCAGCTGGAGATGGGATCTCAGGTTGGGTAAACTGTAGCTGCTGCTGCTGAGAGGTCATTCTGCAGTGAAGAAGTTTCTCTGTTTTAGGGGTTTTGATGGCCAAGGAGAGGAGAAGAGCAGAGTCATCCTTGATTCCACAGGAATGTGTCACTTGTGTGATGCTGGTCCCCTACTGAGGCTCTTCTGGTGGGTGTGGGATATTTGCTTTTGGGATCCTCAGGTGTCTTCTTCCTTATTCTCCTAAGGATAAGCTGCAGCTTCAGTGCACTGACCTGGGTGCAGGACAGATCACTTTCTGGTTCTCTGCTGTTTATTTAGCAATGTTACCTTAGCCAGTTTCTAATTTTGATCTCACATGCAAAGGTAAGAGACAGACCCTGCCCTGACGGAGAGAGACTGGAAGTTTTCCATTACCCCCTTTCTCAGCAGCGAGCTGTAGATGAAGTTTCTTGACCAGGGTTGGGTAAAGACTCTCGCAGTGGTGGGAGCTGGGGGCTCATTCCACAGCCATTTTCCCCTGTAATGTAGGTGGTAACCTGGGAACAGAGAAAGATCTCCAAGGTAACAGGGCATCAGTAGTGTCTTCGTGTTCATCTAAAGCCGGGCAGGCACCCTGTCTCCTCAGGAGAGGATCTCAGCAGATGGACAAAGGAAGGTCTGATTGACATCTATTTTATTTTAAAATGTTGTGCGTTATGTTTCCAGACCCCTGTGTCTGTGACATTATTGATCTGGATGTCTTTAAGACAGTTTGGTTTATTTATTTAACGTGTCTAATCCGTAAAAGAACAAATCCCATCTAGAAATGGCAGGTTGTACTCAGAGCTGCCAGAGAGCTGAGAGTAGGCAACCAAATCTTGCAATGAGGTGATCAAAGATTTCATCAAAAATACAGAATGTTCAAGCTGTTCTGCCAGCTGGGAGACTTGTAGCAGGCTGGAATTCATGCTGCTTGAAATGCTGCAGCTTCCTTCCAAGCAAATAAAAGGACCCTATTGCCCAGCAACCTCCAAAATAGGATTAGTCATTACAAATGGGCAAATATCCCAATAGGACTGGGAGCTCAGCTCTGTGAATTGAAGGGCAGTGTTTTGAAAAGATCTTCCAGGCGGGTTTGCATGAGGAAAAAGCTTACAACTGGTAGTGTGTCCTCACTCCCCATGTGCCACTTCGGTTTTGTACTGAGTGTTTTTGTGTAGCTAAGATAGACTGGGCAGGGGGCTCTTTGTGAGGATTAAGAATGTCCACAAAGGAAATTAGTGCGTAACAGCGATTGCACTTCGTGTTCCTGCTGCAGCTTCCTTTGCAGTCACGTTTCTGGGACAGGCAAGCCCTCAAAGGACTCTGAGGTGCTGTCTTGGGTGTGAGCTGGGTGCTTGACAAAGTCCCAGACTGAGCTTTATGTTTTTAAAAGCTACACTTTTAAAGTTGTTTAGGTGCTTAAAGGTGCAAGTAGACTCCTGTGGGATTTGTTGTAACACTTCAGCATTTCATTCTGGTTGGAAACCACGGACAGGTAGATGGATGTACCTGACAGAAGTTCCTCCTTGATGTCCTTGCAAAACACAGGGCATCCAAACACATATCAAAATGTAGGCCTCTCTCTTTTACATAAGGGATACGTTATTTTTATTTTGACCCTCAGATGTTTGAGAATTGATGCAATTTTTTTTTCCCTTGACTTCAATAACAGATAATAAATGTCAGGTATGGCCAGTGTCTTGGCCCCACTTCCTTACTGTCTTCAGAACGGCTCACCTGTCCCTGCTGCTCCTTTGCTAAACTGACTGCTCCTGTTGGTCCTGTAATTGTGCATTTCCTCTGCAGATTTCAGCAGTAATAGTTTTTCCAATTGTTCCTATAAAATAAGCTATAAAATAGATTGTGTTTTTAATTGTTTAGCTTCATTCAGCAGACTAATCGTTGGACTTCAGGCATGTTACATTAAGTACAGCTAAAGGTTTCATTATTCAATTTAAACTAATCTAATTAGTTAGAGACAATCATTTAATTTGGTTATGATTCTAATCTCTCATCAGGAAACTTCTGGCTGACAAAGTCCCTTGTTTCTGTTTGGAAAAAAGCTGCCAAGGAGTGAAGATTGCAGGATCTACGGATCCCACAGCTCCTGGTTGGTGAGTTGGACACTAAGGAATGGCCCTGACAAGCCTGGTTGGCCACCTTGGCCATCCCACCTACCACCCGTGAGACACCACACCAGGCAACACACACTCCCTGAACTCTTCCCAGAATAATTAGGTCATTTGAGAAACGTGATCAATTAACCAGGAAAAGACCACCATGCCAAAGTCGTTATTAAGCTCCTGGCATTGAACTAGTATTGTTGTCTTGTTCTACATTTTTTGATGGCTGATGCCAACATATATGAATTTTTCGCTGCTGTAGGATAAACTTGAAATACAAATATTTAAGGGGAGATAATTTGTTTTATATATATTCTCATTCTGCCCATAGTTGTTACACAGCTAAGAAATGGTTTAAGTCTTTCTAACTGAACAGAAAAATCTAAAATAAACCTAGTAGCTGGTTTAGCAAAATTCTGTTCTAAATTTAGAGTTGGAAGAACCAAGCAGCACTGAACCTTCAGGGTGATGTTTGGGCTACTGCTTTGGTGATGACTGGGCTGCAGGATTTCATGATGCCCTTAAGAGCTACTAACTTCATTTACCGTGGCTTGAAAGACATTGCTTTCCTTGGGTCTCTGGATTATCTGCAAAGAGAATGGAAATTTATTCAGAACTTCCCAAAGCTGTGGTTATTCTCAGTAAGAATTTTTTGTGTATTCTCTTTCCTTCTTCCTTTCTTTCTCTAGCTCTCATTTCTAAATACATTTTAAAACTTCTTGGTGATAGCAAAATTCAAACTCAAAAAGGACAAAAATTATCTCAGGCTCTAGACTTGAGCTTGAATCCAAGCTGTTGTTGGAAAAACTTTCCCTTCTTAAATATTTATTTTTCTTCTGGGAGTCCCTTGGTGCCCACAGAAGCACCAAGAAACTAATCCTGGTTGGTCAGAGAATAAAATTCAGAGGTCTAGACTTGCAGTTTATCGGACACTTCCACATTTCCAGAGTTGCTCAAACTTTGGAGCTGTTTCCAAAATGCATTTGTGCCAGCTGAGATTGAAACAAATGTAATGTTCCCCTTCCACCATTAAAGACCCTTAATGTTCAGCTTTCTCAGATTTCTCTTCATGGCTATTTCTTTGGTTTTATCAGGGTAGTGCTCTCTCCTGCCCTGGTCTGGGAGGAGCTGATGTTCAGGATTGTGCTGCGTGTGCCGTTGTGTCTTCCAACAGCAGTGCTTTGAGCAGCCCTTCCCCGGGGGCACGGAGAGCATCCCAGCCACTCTGACCGTCCGATCCACCCGGGGTAAGTCCAGCTCAGCCCCATGAGATTGAGCTTCCTTTTGCCTGTGAGTGTGCTGATGTGACAAAAATGGAAACTGAAGGAGGGAGTAATGAAAGTGTCACCACTTGTCACTAGTCTGAGCCATAGCCTGTGTTCCCCGAATATAAATATGTAAAAGGACCCAAAGTCCATTTCAGCATAACTGGCTGCACAGCCTGGCCCAGTTTCAGTAGCTACAGGTAAGGGAAGGAAGAACTGATAAACCAGTGCTGCTCCTGGAGATACAGATTGTGAGTGCTTTGGGTTTGTGCTGGTACCTGCTGTATGATTTGCAAAACCACCTGTGAGTGGAGGCCCTTTCCATCCTTCAAAAAGAGAAGAGCAGTTCCTTTCCCTTGAGGCCCCACGGGGTGGATGCTCTGATCCCGACACACGGAGCTTCTGCCTCAGAACTGCAATGGAAGCAAAAATGACTTCACCCGGTAGAATAGAATATTTATTGCGTCTCTTCCTCCCTTAATTTGGCGAAGGAGCTGAGATTTGTCCTCCTCTTGAGAATGGGGAGTATTAATTAACTGAAGACGGGCTGAGAAATGGATGGCTCTCCTAAGTGTTTTCTGTATACTTTATTATCATTCTAGGCTTTTAAAACAATGACTGTGCCAAAGAAAAGATTAGAGTGAGGCAGAGACAGGTTTTTTTACTAATAACTAGAGAAAAAGATATCAATATACAGTGTATACAATCAGAACAGAAAACAAATTATTTATAAGGTATATTTGAGTAAGAGGTAATTGTGTCTTTAGATTACTTTTATCTAATGTATTTATTGGTACATAAATATAAAGATGTATGGAGCTCTATTGATTGTACATAGAAAGTAAATACTAGGTACTTTTATATGTAATTTATGTATCTCCATCTATAGTGACACATACAGATTCTGTACCTACTGCATTTTTGTACCTATATATGGAAAAGAGAGAGACTCAGAGTAAAAAGGATATTTCATCCTATCAATCACTGTCCTGCTCCCCTCCAGTGTTCTTTGTTTTATCACTTAAAATTGTAGTACATGGAGTGCAGAACTCTGAACTACAATGTGCGTATGGAAAACAGAGATGTGAGCATCTGTTCATCAAAACCTTCCCCAGCTGCCTGCAGAGTTCATACCTACTTCTTTCTCTCTGAGGTGGTGGCTTCTGGCTCGCTCTGTCTCCTTCCAGCAGAAGAGCTTGGTGACCCAATGCTGAGGTAGCTGTGATTAGTTGGGTTGGCTGAGGCAGGGCTGGTTGGGGATTTGGCAGGTGTAGCCTCGTCACAGCCATCACCACAGTGGTTTCTGCAGCATGAAAAGCATCGTTCGGTTACGGGGTATCACCATCAACGAATAAAGATATATTTGCAAAATAAGGCTAAGACACAGGTTCCACTTCTTCCTCAAGTCAGCCATTAAATCTGCCAGCATGAAAACAAGCTCTGTCTCCTCACAGGCTCAGTAGATGAGTTGCTACAAAAGCCAGACCATTTTCTTCTTTGTTCCGTAGTTACTTAGAATGACAGGCACAGAATCTTAGGTTTGGATTCTCATACGAGAAGTTCCTTCAGCTTCAACTGTAAGATTAAGGCTGTATCTTACACTTTTTAAGGTCTTTGCATTAGAAGACAAAGCTACAGCATTTTGTATCCTAACCAAAATAGTGATTTGGCTGAAAGGCCCCCAGTTCCCTCAGCAGTTGGGGTGAGTTGATGAGCACGGTCTCCTTGTGGAGGCTGTAACAAAGCACACATCGATGGCATTTCTCAGGGGTTTCAATTTTGCTGTTGGCGTTTCCCACCCAACAAACCAGGGCTGTTGTGCCCATCACCTCTCATCACAGAGTAGAGAATTTAAACAGGTCTTTGAGAACCAGACCCACACAGAGGTAAACATTACTTAGTTTGCAAGAATGAGCATTTACGAGGGTCAATGCAGATGCCAAGGACTTCTAGTCTTTCCCATGGAAAAATTTAGGTTTTCCAGTAATGCTGTAATTATCACCCTGTCATGTCACAAAGCAAACAGGTTGGCAAACCTAGGTACCGAACTAAATAATCTGTGGCATAATCTAAACATATAATGGTAATTAAATCTGACAACTTAATAAGATACTGAAATTCAAATGTACGGTAGTAATCTACAATTAAGTAATCTTTTGTAATAGCACCCTGCCAGTTTGTAAGATTTCAGGTAGAGCGCTGTGTACTGTTTCACAGCAAAAATATTGACATAAGAAAAAGTTACCCAGGCAATGATCAAACGTACATTCAAATCAGCCAGCACGGTATGTGGAAGGGTACAATGGAGGCAATGATTCAATTCAGACGTTCAGTTGGTGCCACTGGCCTGCGTTCAGGGCTGCCTTGCTGTACTTGGGAAGGACATTTGCTGCTGTTTTGAGGGATCATGATGCCTGGTGACATCTCTAATGAGGTTTCTGGCAGCCCATCGCCTAACCTCAGAGGTGGTTAATTAGAGCCACGGTCTCTTTAGGACCCTGCTAGGGTCTCTGATCTCCAGCGTTCCCCTGCTCCTCTGAGCAGAGAGGATCCTTACACAGTATCTGAACTGGAATGGAGTGGAACTGAAAGTTCCATTTCTAGCAAAATCTTTAGCTGAGTTCAGGCTTTGATACTACCTTGTGCAATATATAGTATTATTAATACTCAGTTACCCAGATGCTGTGCCAGGTAGCAAAGGAAAAGTATACACAATGCTAAGGGAGACAAGATTGGATGTGATCAAAACACAGAAAGCAGACTTCAAATGAGTACTGATTCTACTAAATCAGCTAACTGGTGAGAACTGGGAGGAAATAAGGACACATGCTTCTAGGAACTTCTGGATTTCTCTTTTACGTCTTTTTGGTTGCCAGGTTTTGAAAAAAATTATGGTATATGCTTTTGCTTTCATTCCTACAGCACATGTCCCATCTATTTATGTACAGCCTTCTTGAAGGGGAAGGAAAAAACACCCCCCCTCCCTCAAAAGCCCTCAGCGCAAATTGGCTTAGCGGGGGCTTTGCGCCAAACAGCACTGTAACCAGCACTGCTGCTCCACAGAGGGTAATTATATTTTAGTTATGATGTCAATAAGCAGCTCCCAGGAGAGCTTTTCTTTTTTAATCCTTTGAAGCTCTGAGTGAATAAAGTGAGCCTTGGAAAAGCAAACCAAGGCAAGAACCTTTCTAAATATAGGAATCGCTTTGGGATTTTTGCATGACAATGACATTATTTTTAGACATAGGTATGAGATTTCCTGCATTTGTCTGTCTGAACCATTGGTTTCTTTCCTTTTCTTTCTCCCCCCTTTCCGTTTCTACTAACTTCCCTCTCTCCTCATGTTGTTATTGACTGTTTCTACAGATGCTGTTTTCAGAGCGAGAGCACTGGGGAATCAATCACAGCCATGTTATAAAAGGATCCCCATCACTACAGAGCTGAGTAAGTTATTCTTTAGGAACAAGTTCCACAGAAGCAATATGCATGCTGCATTATTTATTTACCCCAGGCCCTTTTTAGAATTCACAGGCAGAAAGCGACAAGCACTACATGTCCAAGGAACATTAAAAGGTTTGACTTAGATGTTAATTCACTGGCTTTGAAGGAGTCAGGATGGTTTATCAGGAGAATAAATATAACAAAGTGTTACAAAGGTCTCTGTGTGTAGCAAAACTCTAAAGCATCCATTTAGGAGACAGATAATGTCCTTGGGTTTTTTCCTCCTGGACTGGATCTCAGGAGAGCTGAGTTCTAGCCACATGGCCTGCATTCATGCCACCTTCCTAAGGTACTTCCCCAAGGTAGGTAAAGCATTTGTACAAGTGGCTGTGAAAGGACAGAGCCTGTTCCAACCCTCCCAAGGTACCGGGTGCTGTGCATTGGTGTTGGGATGGGTCCCTGCACATGCCCAGGAGCACATGGAGCACAGACATTCTGCTCCAGAGCCCACCAACTCCTCATCCCACTGCGAAGGCTCAGCCTCTCCAGCCTGCATTCATGTCTGAAGTAACCCATGGAGTTCTTGCATATAACTCTTGGCTATCTTTGTCTTTATTTCCTGATAGTTACAAACTGGATCTCTTAATTAAAATATGCGTACCAATTAACTGATTATTAGTGACATAGCAGTCGGTGTCACAACAGTGGTGTGGCTGGGCTGCCAGTCCCAAGGGACATGAATGTGTAGCTGCATTTAAAGTGCTGACACAAGAATGCACCCACGGAATTAACATAGCATGTTGCTAGGCATCACCACTGGCCCCTCACTCACTCAGGCTTCTTTTTTCCCTTTTTTTCTTCTTGATGCAAGGCTTGTAAATGCTGTGTGGACTCAGCACACGTGGGGTCCTTGCTTTCCAGTCCCCTCACCAGCCTTGCAGCTGGAACAGGGCTGGTGAGCAGCCTCTGCCTGTCGCAGGCACTGGTGGTATCCTATTTATATGGAGCTCTGGTGTGCTGCTTAGTCAGAGCTTGCACCTGATGAGCTGTGTCCCAGAAACACTTAAGCACCTCAATGGGCTGTTCAGTCCTGTGTGCTCCTTAGACTGAAACACTGAGAAGCTACTGCAAAAAAACCAAACCAACCAAACAAACAAAAACAAAATAATGATAAGATAATGATGCCTCCTCCTGAGTTGTTCCAGAACTCTTGAATTTCCCAGACTGATACTTGGATATCTACTGCTGTGGTTTAGGCTTTTATTTCTGCTGTGTCCAAAAGTCTCAGAAATGTTTTGAGCTGGCTACTGAGACCCAGCTCCTCAGAGAAGACACTGTGCAGTCAAGCTAACGTCTTCAGACAGGCATTGCACCCCTGTGATTTCCCTCCAGGATGTGGTGTGTCAGTGGAGGGGAAAACATCTGCAATCTGTTGACATGACTTGGATTTTAGTCATGTCAGATCTTTGACAAAATAATGAATCAAGCCCAGTCCCTTAGCACATGGATGTCTGCCCCTGCTGTAGTCCTGAACAGCAGAGAAATATGTTCAGAGTTACAGGGATGGGTTAGGAAGCAAAATAACCCCAAGAATTTAAAACCTGGAAGCACAAAACAGCTAAACAAAACCAGCTGGAGCTTTCTTGTGATTGAATAAGCTTCCTGTAAGTCCCCCTGCTAGACCTTGCTCTAGACAAATGCTTGCCTTTGTGCCTATCTCTAGAAACGAGCTGAGAGGGGTAATACTAATGTGGCTTAAGTTTTAAGGGCTTTGCTTATTCCAGGCAATTTCTTATTTCACAGCACACTGATTGTTGACCAAGGGCCATCTGTATAATCCAGCAGCAGGGTACACATCACTAAGACTGTTGCTGCTTAAAACCTGCTGTAATTATAGAAAGGAGAAACAGAATGGTGAGGAAATAAAGCGGATCCCTTCTTGTGGCTGCGAGCCGATGCTTCTCATACCCAGCCTGTACGAGGCAGTCAGTGGATACTGATTAATGCCAGATGCAGGGCCAACTCCACAGTCCAGGGTGGGTGAAATATCTGTGCTTGAGAATTCATGGCTGAAGGATGACACCAACTCTGCAAGACAACAGGAGGCATTAATAGTATTGTGATTCTGGCTGGTTTTAGTCATCTTTAAAAATGATGCACTCAAATGCTTCCTGACCCAAGGGGACATAATAGAAATCAGTCATTACTCACATAGAGTTAGTTGTGCTCGCTCTCTGTTTTTTAATGGGAAGATATGGGTTCTTGATCTCAATTCCTTTCAGTCTCCTGCTGTGCTGCTGTCATTCATCAGCATTCTTACTGGGAGTGCTGGAGTGCCAGGACATACCTGGCGTGTTCAGTAGCACAGCAGGGGCCTCCTGCCTGGGTGTACTCAGTTCCCTGAAAACAGAAAAGAAAGTTAAGGGGAAATCACTTTAGAATTCAAGACTATCTCAGCCAGCGAGAATAAGTTGAGAAACTAGTGAAGACCCCTGTAAAGTAGGACAGCTGTAAAAGGGACTTTGTAACCCCAATTTAAGCCAACAGAAATAGTAATTATATTTCTGTTAAGTCAGGAAAATGAGGGGAAGAAGTTAGATTATTCCTTTCCTTTTCAAAGCAGGTAAATAAATTATGATCTGATATCTTAAAACTTAGTTCTAGGATTCTGTGTCTTTTGTCTGCCATTGCACAATCAGCAGCACTGAATATTTTGTTCCTCTTTTCTGTACTAACGCTGCTCGCTGTGGCTAGTGCTGGGCACAGAGTGGCAAATTGAATTTATTAACTTTTGTTTCTGATTCTAGATTGCTCATCTCTGTTGCTAAGATGTTTTCTATTTCTTCCTTGCTTTTCCAATATAGCCTTCAATGCCCAGTTCACTAATCTGGCTCCCAGTGGCAACTCTGAGATTCCAGAGCAAGATCACGTTTCCACCACTGGTGGCCCCACAGGAGCTGACTTCTCAGAGAGCTTCTTGAATTCTCTTTGGTCTCTGGTAAGTAGATGTATCACGTCCTGTCACATTTAGTGGCATCTGTATGTAACAAAGTGATGACCAGCCAGGGTAAACCCACTTAATCTCACCTGAACAATGGTCAAGGCCATGTGTGTCAGAGAAGGGCACAAGAAATGTCGCAGACATCGGTGATGTGATTAGTTACATGGTGCCCTGAGAATTATACGTGTCTATTCCTATTTCAGCCATTTGCTAATCAGTGAGCCTCTCTGATTTCTTGGGGTAGTGGGTTCTGTACACTAGAAGGCAGGTCTCTCAGTGTGTGCTATCAGCAGCAACTCTCCCTGGGGTTGAAATACACACAGAATTATTTGGAGAAACTTTTAGAACATTTTCCTAAGTTCCTCCTGTTCCCAGCTCCAAAATATTAACAGGCTACAAAAGGTGTTTAAAGCCAGCCTGATTTATTTGCTTTTTGCAAACATGATATGTTCCTTCTCTTTTTTTCTGGGAGCCCCTTTCTTCCTCTTCACCCCTCTTCCCCATCCTGCAGCCCCGTTCCACATGCCTCGCGCTCAGCTCTCGGCCAAGGGGATAGTGCTTGGGTGGCAGTTTTACAGAAACTGAATAAATACAAAACAAATCTCTCTGAGGGATAAGCAGTCCAAAATAAGTGTGTCAAGTCCAGTTATGCTTTTCTGAGAAGGCTTCAGTGTTAGGGAAAGTATTATATTGCTGCTACTCACTGATATGTCAATCAGCCAGATGGTAATTAATGACTGCTAGTGTCAAGTGTAAAAGTAACTCAAGACATAGCATGACCTGTCTTAAAGGATAAAATTTCACTCAAGCGTAAGATTCCAAGTCTGTCCAGGAATGATCAGCACTCAGCAATGCGTTAAGGGAGAGGGGCACCTTGGGCTGGATTCAGGCATTCCCTAAATCCAGTGAAGGCAGAGAAACACGAGACCTGGAGTGGGACCTGGAGAAGAAAGAGGGAGGGGAGCCTTCAGCAATCCGGTGTCACCTCCTTTTGCTATCGTGAATATCTGTTGAAATTTCTCAAGACACTCAGATAAGGAGTGCTCTTTTGGCTTGCAAGGAGCCTGGCAGAAGAGTCTGAATGGCAGAAGGTGGTCTGTAGAGTGAAGTGTTACCACTTGGAAGTCTGAAGCAGAACCGGCTCTTGGGGTCTCAGTAGGCAGAAAACAATTCAATGAGCATGACCTTTATGGCTCAGGTACTCTGAGCCCTGAATTCCCTTCCTTATCCAGCTGTGGGTTCCTAAGCTCTACTGGGCCAGCTTGAAAAGCTTAGTAGCAACAGGGGGTCAGTGGGACCAGGCAATGGTTGGTGATGGGAGAAGGTTTCCAGCCTTGCCTTTTTGTGCAGAGGTGTTCCCAGGAAATCTCCTTGTCTGAAGCTGTAACCAGCCGTCAGCTGGGGAAGAAGGTAATGTCTTGTGGGCACATTATAGAAATGTTGCTCCTTTAAAGTCAGCTTCAAGACCCATTCTAAATGCAGTGTGTTGTTTCCTGAGTACTCACACACACACATGCACACCTCTATAGTTTCCCCGCCTTTCAAATTCCTGCAGTGTAACTCAGCAAAGAAAGTACAGAATGAGGGTGACATGCAAATCCTATTAATTCATCCAAGTATGGAAACGCAATCCTTTTGATGTCAAAAAGTACAGCAATGATATGTTAAAGAGCTCAGCACGCTTCTGTTAAATATGTAAAGTGCAGATTCCCCCGAAGCTGTATCACTCCTGGATAACCCTGGACTATAGCTCCTTACTTTAAAAGACTGAGAATTACTCTAACAGCATTATACCCCTTTGCCCGACAATATGGTCAGATGTTCTTAAGCGGATTTGAGTTCAGCGTGGATTTAGTAACACCATTCCTTCTCTGCAGCTTGTTTAGTTTCTTTACTCAGGCAAATGCAGGTGACAGATTCCACAAAGTGGCTCAGTGTAGGAAAGCTTTTTGAGAAAAGGTGGAGAGTAAGTTATTTGATGTACTGCAGGCAGCAGAAATGCTTCTAGATTTCCTTTCCTTCTTGCCAAATATTATGATCCTAAAAGTAGTGAATAGTTGGCTAAATACGGGAGTTGGTATTGGGCTGAATTGTCTGCTTTGGTTCCTTTGAGATAAAAGTGAGTTTGTTTCTTTTATAGCAGGAGGACTCCTTTGGAGACATTTACTGCAGAGCTTTAGACTTGTTTGGGCTACGCTGCTTTGGGCTCTAGTGCCTGATGGAAGAGCCCAATCTGTGCAAGAATAGGCAAGTATACTTTATCTCAAATATACCATAAATCAAAAGATAATAGTTATGACTTTGAAGGTAGGCATCTGTTATCAGCAGCCTGAATTACTTATTTTTATCTTGGATTTAGACATTCTTCTGGGCAGCTGATGCCATTTGAGGCAAACTGGTGTGTGGTCTGGACATGGTGCTGACTGGCACTTGTATGAGATTCCCTTATGTTCACTTAAGACGTGATTTATCTCTACAAGTGAGCCTTCTTCATTAGAGAGCTGCTGGAGCATGAAGTTAGCAATGCTGCTGAGGGCAGGGATTTCAGAGTTTGCAGCCAGAGAGAACTTTCTCATCTAACCTGTTCTACTCGCTGATTCTTTCTATTTCAAGATTTCAGTGATTGCTTGAGCTTCAGATTTCCTGGAGAGACATTTAGTCTTGATTTAAAGATTTTGAGCAATCAGAAAACTATCACATCTTTCAGCAGCTGTTCACAGGCTAATTAGCTTCCTTTAAAGTGTATGTATCCCATTCCTAGGTAAAATGTATATTGTCTCATCATTCCAAAGAATTCTGCACATGCAATCAGTCATTGCAAAAAACGCCTACAGCTTCCTTGCTGTACCAGACACCAGTTTGAAGGCCTCACAAAGCATTCAGAACCTCACGTGCTACTGCTTTTCCAGGTTTGTGGTTGCTCAGCCTGTCAGTGACGTGAAGATACTGTCTGTGTCCTTCCCTTCACCATTGCAAGAGCTGATGCCCTGTGGTGTGGGATGGAAGTCAGTCACCAAGCCAGAAAACAGGTAATAGACACCCTCGTGCCAGAATTACAGAGATGGTGGAACACCCTGCAAATAAAAAATTATACAAGTTATTGAGACCCCCACTATAAATTGTCTATGTTCTTATTTCTTAGGGGTGGCAGTTTGAATTTGGCTAAACATTAACACGAGGTTATCACTGAAAACAGTATTGTTCAGCTTTAACAACAAGCATACTGGAGAGTAAAATGCTCTCTCTGCGAGGAAAGGGGCAAAAACTTGATTTTCTGCTGTCCACTGCACAGACAGACCCAACTATATACAAACACGATGGGTCTGTTGAGTTTAGAGATTCTCTGTCGAGCTTCTCAAAGTTCAAAGACTCCAGCACACTAAAATTCAGTTTTCTTGCAGCAAGAACTGAAGATGCTGGATTGATACGCATGAAAAGAAACAAAAAAAACAAGCAAAAAAACCTCTCCGAATTTGTACCATAAATCAGGTCTTGCCTGTATGTTACAAAGTCAGTTGAGGGAAGGAGGAGAATGTTGTTGTTTAGTTTTTTTTCTCTCTCTCTCTCTCTCTTTCCCCTAACACATATTAGGTTTGAAAGACTGCAGCTTGAGTCCAGATACCACATGCCGAGAAGAAAGGAACCCAAACAGCTGACGCAGAGTTCAGACTAAACTAACTGCAAGCTCCCCAGGGACATCACAAGGTAAACCTGATAGTCTCTGTCATTTACAATCATTATCAGGCAGCTGAGTCTCTGTAATATTACTAGGGAGCCAATTAACAGATCCCTGAAGCTCAAGAATAAGGTCTTGGTCCTTTTTCTATTTTAGACAGGAAAAGGGGGAAAGCAAGTCTTTGTCTCAAATAGGTACTCCAGAAGCTTTCCCGCCCAGGGGAATGGTCAGATCTGGGCTTGCACTTTTCCTCTTGAGGAGTACGATGAAACTCTGAGCTCACAGAGCCAAACCACTGGCTTTAGTGCCCAGCTCTGCAACAAGCTGGCAGTGTAACCTTGGGCGAGTTATTTAACCGTATCCTAATGCTGCTTGCTGCACACAGGAACTGTAACAACATACTTTTTCATTTAGATAATGAGAGCTTTGTGGAAAGGACTGTCTTTTGTGATTTGTTTGGCCTAACATAAATAGGTACTGATTTAGGATGGGACATTTTGGAACTCCCCTCACACAACATGAGTAAGAAGTAAGAGAATAGCTTGGACCAAAACTCCAGATGGAAACATATCTGCACTTGGGGAAGTTTGGAATTTGGATTCAGGTCTGAGCCTTAATGTGTTGGACTCATCTTTGCTGGAATAAACTAATCATACATTTTCAACTCAGGACAGATTGTAAGTAGGAATCGGTGAACCGTGCTTAGAGCAAACAAAATACATAGGAAGCAATGCTTTCCCTTTGCCAGCCCTTTGCAGACCAGAGCCTGAGCCAAGACAGTCAGCTGATCTCTTGGTAGGAGGTTTTTGGCCTAAAATCACCCACTGTATATACAAACTTAGATAAAAATTTGTGCACTGGATTCTGTTTACCCTCTGGCAGAACAAGGCTTCGATAATAATGTCTCAGTCCGTTCCCTAGCATGCATTGTTTTAAACAGGCAAAGCAGTTAAAAGGTGGAGGGAAGAGCCTGGGCAGTCTTTGCATCCTTTGACTACAAGCGGTACCTCGTACTGAGATTCTGCAAGCTTTCTCTGTTGTCATCATCTGAACCTTTATTTTCGGTGTAATCCAGTCGAAGCAGGGCACAGAGGCAGTAACATCCCTTTTCTTATTGTCCTACTGCTTTTAAATAACTACATGTGCCTGGACTTCTGTGTTCTGGTAATGCGCGAGTTTTGTGCGATGTTAAGGCATTTTTATTAAGGAAACAGCAAAACCTGTTCACTCATAACTTCCCTGAGTGGGTGAGAAACTCAGACCATCTTGCCAGCAAAGTCCTCTATCTGAAATCATCTGCTTTTCCTAGAAAATGGAGGCAAATGTTGAAAGCCCTGCTTCGTGATTGAGATCCAGAACATACCAGTTCCAGCACTAAGGCAGCAAACTTTGGCTGTTACTGGGTTACTGCAGAGCTCTGCTCCCTGGGGTAGAACTGTTGGACCTCTGCTGTGAGGATCTTTCTTCTTCCCATTAAAAGAGAGCCTTGCAGCAAGTGCATTTTCTAAAACACTCCTCTCCATGGTGTCTGAGGTGCAGGACAACCAGTGATGGCACGTGCCATGAGTTCCTGCCCTGCACTCAGGTGTGTCTGTGGTGGGGCACAGGCACGTCTCCAGGCACACAGCTTTTCCAGCACAATATATTTCCAGTTGCTCAACCCACAGCTGCTGTTACTGGGGTAAGGTGGAGGGAGGAGAGGTGACAAGGTGGAGAAGGGACCTCTTTCATGTTGCTTATTCCACCTTTTTGTTCCGTTGCTATATCTGAGCAAGCAGTTCTGCTTCTCATGAAAGAAGGAAGGGGGAGAGAAATCCTAAGAAAGGTAAAAGCATTAATGGGTCAAGGCCTCCTTTGCATAATTCTATTATCACCAGGAAGATTCTGCAATAATCATGTTAGGCATGTGCTCTGGAGCATCAAAGTGACTTGTCTTACCTTACTTTTTGATGTTAGACAGGTTTAAATGCTTTGTACAGATGAGGCACCTCAGACAGCTGATCAAGAACGCCTGTGCTGTTCAAGCAAAGCAAAGGCCTGTTTTGCTTTTTTTTTTAATGTCAACAATGCCACATTCTTCCAGCGAGGAATAATCTCTGTTGTCACAAACTGTGAAAAGCAAAGGTGTAGGAGAGAATCTGTGTGTGGGTGCATGCAAACATGCTTTCTGAAGCTCCCTCCTTTGAATCTCCAGCAGCACTATCTTCTCCTGTATTGTTTGGGTCATATGTTTATAAACCTCCTGTATAAATAAATTCAGCTCCCGCAGTGAAAACCCCAGTGTGGTACATAAAGCTGTTACAGGATCTCTGTGCTGTAGTTTGCTAATCTGCACCCGTTCTGAGCTGTAAAGGGCACCTTAGTGTGTGGGTGGTGATTAGTATTAGTAGGTTTTATGTTTTAGCAGTGGTACCAGGGTCTCCAGTTGAGCTCTGAAACTTTCTGAGTCAGATCCAATCAGAGAGAGTCCCTGACTCTGGTGGGCTTAGGGGCTATATACAAAAAAGAGTTATAAGGAAAGCAGAGGAGTTGTAGTTTGCTCAAAAGCATATATAAATTGGTGGAAAAGATAAAAACAGAACCCACCTCTTCTGGTTTCTAGGCTAGCAGCTTTCCCACCAGGCCATTTTGCATTTAAACTCTCAGCTCCTGCTGACATGAGCATTCCGTGCCGGTCTGTCTCTGCCAGAGGTGGCTCAAATAGTCTTCATGGAGCACTACCTGATTAATTACTTTTTCCATTTGTTATGAGATGTTCAGCCTCTTTAGGAACAGACAAGTATCATCACACTTTCCAACAGGAAAGGAAGTGACTTGAGGGTTACCCAGTAGGTCTGGTGTCTCGCAGTGTCTTGTCTGTCTGTCGGCTGGGCCACGCTGTCCTTTCAGGCTGCTACATGGTGACTGGAGCCAGAAACCTCTGCGAAGATGCACACAGGGATACACAGACTCTGCAGAGACTCAAACACCCTAAAGCACTTACCCTCACACCAGTATCCACCTGCATCTGAGCACTGGTGAGGGCACGCACCCAGAGACAAACACAGGCCTCTGCAAAGAGCGCTTGCCCGTGAGTACATGAATGTATATATCCAGGGCAGGGTTGGTTTCTCCCTCCTCCTCCTCCTCCTCCTCCTCTAGTCAGATAAATCCAGCAGAACGAGCGGTGAGGGATGTCACTGCTGGGAGCTGGGCTGGGTTTTGCAGTGCAGCGAGCTCGGGTGGTGACTGACACATCGTCAATGAGATCTGAGGAGAATCCAGACTCTATAAATGTTAGATGAGGCAGGCTGGGCACTGACAGAAACGAGAGGTGGCTGCAAACACCAAGTGTCATTATTCTCTGAGCAGGGGTGGTGAGAGGCCTAGGAACTTCCCGTGGAGATTAACTACTTCACAGCAGGGTGAGGAGCCGTCTCCTGATGTAAAGGGACATCCTGTTGTCCTGAGAACACTTGGAAGGAAGGATGTGTGACAGCAGGAGTAGCTTTTGAGAGCATACACACGGTTTCCTGCAAAGCACGTATCTTGTCTGAAAGATGATTTTACTCTGCTGAGATAAACTCCAACCACCTAATGGTTTAAATTAGGGCCAGAGCAGGAGGAGGTGTGTCTCTTAGTCATTAATTGGCAGTGGCTTCTCTAGCCTCTTCTTACTGAAGGAAGGGCTCTTTGCTGCTTCCTCATCCATCTCCTCCAGCTTACCCTCTTGACCTGCCACCAGTGCACCATAAAGCCACAGCCCTATGTCTCTCCAGTCTCTCCCCATCTCTTCAGTGGCCAGTTACAGAGGGACTGGAGCCGTTTAACTGCTGATTGCTTCTCTGCTTGCAGCAGGAGGCTGTGCAGAGTGAATTAGGTGAGCTAACTGTATTAAGCAATCTGGAAGTGCATCATTAATGCTTCTGACACTTTTTTCTGTAGTACACGTGTGCCAACTAATAAGCATTAGTGACTGAAGTTTCCCCATTTCCCAGAAAAGGGATGCAGCTAGAGCAGTGCAAGTACATCCTCAGCCCACGGGGCTCTGTCTCTCCACAAGTTTCGATGCTTTTCCAGACTCCTCTGTCCTGTGTACGGGTGGGAGTTGCATTGGGGTAACTGTTGGAGTTGGCTGATGCTTTTAAACTTTAATGGAGAACTCTGGTTTTCTGGGTTTGGCTTTTTTTTATTTGGGTGGTGGCAGAACAGGATTTCTGTTTCCAGCCAGAAGGAGGAGCCAGATCAGTCACTGTGACTTAGAATTGAGTTGTCTTGTGAAGTTTTTTGCTAAAAGAATCAAAACAGAAAACAAAAAGAAAAGCAACTCCACTGAGATTCATTCTTTCCCCTTTGAGGCAAGGAAAAAGGAATATTAGTTTTTGCAAAAGAGAAATACATTTTTTTAAGTCTCATCTTTTTTTTTCAGAAGGTATCCAGGGTTGAGGTTAGAGGTTTAGTTCTGTTTTCCTCTCATTTTCATTCTTGAATAAGCCCAAACCTTAAAGAAAAGCAGTACTGGTATGAGTTGATATTGTGAGTGCAAAATGTAATCTGGTTAGTAGGCAGTTCTTCCTCCCTTTCTCTCTCTCATCTTGGTCCTGTTGAAAATACTCTGCAGTGGAGAAACAAATGTTCCCAGTTCCTTCCCTCTGAGAGCAAGGACTGGTGCTCACCAGCAATGAGCCTTTTGTTTCCACTGCTGTGGCTGCTCTTATGTACTTGCTTATCCAGGCAACTACCAAAAGAAGCAGAAGTCCGAAATGCCAGACTAATGCATCAATCATAATTCCTGAGCTGCCAGCAGTCATGTAACTGCTTAAAGACCTCAACAGCCCTCTGGCACTTAAAGAAAAAAATCATCTAATTAATCACAGGTGAAACAGCTTGGACCTGCTCCAAAAGCCCCTGAATTTACTGCCAAGCTTTGATGCTAATTTTCCTTCTAAGTAACCCCCTAAAGAAATTTACGATTAGGTAATTAAAGTGATGAATAAAGAG